ACTGAAAGATGGGGCTTCGTTGGCTCTTTATTTCAGCTCTACAGGAGTTGAGCCCAGTCTTTCCATAGGGTCGCCAGCTTTACTGTGACATAAATGACAAAATGGGTAAATTTGTTTCCCGTCCTGCCTGCTGCTAGCATGTTCTTGTGCTAAATGAAAGTTAGCCCCTTATTCTTTAATTTCCAACTTTGACCCTCCCCCCTTGGCGGTTAGGAAAAAAAAGCTGCACCTTCTTGTAGTGGCTTACAGTCCGGAAAATATGGTAATTATTTGAATTAAATGATTAGTTAATATCTTACTTTGAAATCACTTGCCAGTAATTTTGCTTTTTATTAACAGAACCTGTTTATTATGTACTTAAAAATAAATAGATTATGAAAAATATCACTTAAAGAAAAGTTATTTCTACTATACTTTGAGATACATCATCATTAAACTGAGTCCTGTAGCTTTTTATTTGAGTATTATCTTCTTCACCTGAGTCAGTTGTAGAAAACAGCAAGATTCAGAACATTTGGTTTAACTCCCTGCTTATCCTCTTCTGATTCTAATCTACTCTGCATTCCTACAACCAGACCTGAGCATGGAGAAACAGCTTTTAGTTCTTAAGCTCCACTAATCTGAATAAAGCACTGAAGCCATTAATTGCTTTAGTTAAAATGAAAAATGTATTTTAGCTTTTCCTTTGATTGTGAAATCTTAATATCAGTTAAGTTTGAAGTCCAAGTTTCTTTTCTTATCAGTCATTTCATCATAATTTTTTTTTAAATCATCTTCTTATCAACTTAACTATTTACTTTTATTGTCTTCAGTTGTTTGTGTTCAGTATTTATATATTTATTATACATTTATTCTATTTATACTGTAACTATGATAATTATTTTTTTCTTTTTTCATAAACAGCACTGAATTGTTTTGCTACTGAAATATGTGATATAGATAAACTTTGCCACTGTAAAATCTAAACAAATAAAACTATATTACTTATCTTTGAAATAATCTTTTTAAAACATTTCTCATGTTAATAAAATAATGTTCTTATACGTTGACTTAAAGTCAAAAGGGTGAAAGATACTTTATATATATATTTTTTTAATTAGAAACAGATTTCCTCATCCACTGATGGGTTTAAGTTGGTCCCATAAATCTTCTTATGAAAGGTGCCATTAGATACATTTTCTTTTCTTTTTTTTAATAAAGAAAAATTAGAGAGTGAGAATGTCTATTTATTGATTATTCATTAGAAGTAATTCCACTAAACCCTGCATGTTTCCACTCCTCCACCCATATTTTAAGCTCTTTGTGAGTTTGATGAATGAGGCTTCAAGTCTCCATCTATTTGCAGAGTCTGGACTTCTGTGCTTTGTTAGCATCTGGCTGCTTCATGTGATGAAATGGAAAACACCTCAGGAACAAAAACAGGCTCCCTTTGCTTCGGTTCAGGAAGCAGAGGTTGGTTACGGCTGGGAGACTCAGCTTTTGCGGTGTCGGTCACTCCAGCGAATGACAAAAAGTTCATGTTTGATGCAAATGTGACTGCATTGGCGCATATCAATGAAAAATCTTGTAAAATGTTGAAAAACAAAAGCATAATGCAAATTAGGCACTCATACCGTTTAGGCAGTTTAGTCCCCGTTTTTTCTACAACATTCATCACCACTGGAAAAGGGAAAAACAATTACAGCAGCGAATGCACGCATATCTTACAGGCCTGGTCTCCAACTTCTCATCTACATGTACAGCCCAGTGCATCCCACAGCTCAGGGCGGATGGGGGGTGGGGGGGTTGGACCGTTTGTTGTGTTGTGTTCATATAGGATAGACAGCAGCTTCTGGTCCCTGTGTTCACGCCGTCCTTCAGTCAGCCCCCTGAAGGACATTCATCTTATGTTTTACACAGTTTCAATGACAGAAATCACAGCAGCTTGATTCTGACAATTTCACCAACATCAAAAACACTAACAGCTGCAGAGATTCAGCCACTAGCTTGTACAGGAGCGTTGAGAGGGCGGATTGAGGCTGCAGGTGTTTGCAGTGTTCCTGGGAGCTTCCAGGGCACTGGGGTGTGTCGTCGCTGCAGCAGTGTGTCCACCTGTGAAGTCCTTTGTCAGAAAGAGGTAAGTTTGTGGCACAGGCTGCTTGCTGAGCTCAGATGTAGTACTCCTTCACGTTGTCCCTGACAGAGTTTTGGAGATGGAGCTCAGTCCTGTAGTCTGTGTACGTGCTGTGTCTGTGCTCCTCTTTCATGCTGCTGCTCCTCTTCGCCCGGCGCTGCTGATAGAGGAGGCGGCTTATCACAGCCAGAGCGCACACGGCAATGAAGACGACCGCTGTGACCACACCTGAGAACACAGCAGGGAGGAAAAATTTGAGGATTATGACAGGGGGGTTGAAAGTCATGCCTGGAGGCAGGAAGAGATTCACCTTCCAGTACAAAAACATGCTGGCACTCAAAAAACAGCAGCAGCATTCCCATGTTCAGTGGCGAACACGGATCAGTAAATCATTCATAAAGAAGCCACCTGCATCCCTCAAACTGTGGCTGCTTATCAACAAAAGTGTGCGCCTTTGTTTTCTGTTTGATCTGTTTGCCAGATTCAATAAAAGAGACTCAGATATGCGCTGCTCTGTGTTTAGGTTCTGTTTTTATCAAGCAGAATTAGATGCATGTGAAATGCCAATGAGGGGAAGTTTGATCATCTGTGTTCTGTTGTACTTTAAACATTTTGGAACATTTTCTCTTCCAAACTCCAAGCCCATTCAAACAAAACAAAGCATATTTTATTTATCAAAGGGATTTTTGGTCTTTTTTGTTGATGAGGGATGTATGAAGTGCCGTGAAGTCTGTGGCCTGCAGCTGTCTGGTCCTAAGCCAAAACTAACCGCTATTCAGACCGCTTATCCCTTCATCTTTTTTAAATGGATGGAAACAATCTCAGATCTATAAATGCAAAACCGCCTCCGTCTCAAAATGCAACAGCGAAAGTATATTCAATGATTTAATTTTCTAAAATATATCGCTTAATATTGTATTCAGAGGTTTGGAGGAAATCCTCCAGAACCCATGGAACCAATATATATATATATATATATATATATATATATATATATATATATATATATATATATATATATATATATTACTCCCTGTAGAGGAAAGCACAAACAGGCTACTGCAGGTACTATTTAATAAAGATGCCAGTTGGGGACCTGTGAGGCATCTGTTACTCAAACTAGAGACTCTAATGTAGTTTCTTCTTGCTCAGTTGTGCAACGCGGCCTCCCACTTCTTTTTCTACTATGGTTAGAGCCTGTTTGTGCTGTCCTCTGAAGGGAGCAGTACACACCGTTTTAGGAAATCTTCAATTTCTTAGCAATTTGCAATGAAAGTTCTCTTTTTCTGGCCCTTTTAAGT